ACACATTCCGGTAAGACAAAACTCGGCCAAACGTTGCTGTGTAAATAATATGCAGTATCTACAGCAGCAAAATGTGAGTGTTCTGCCTTGGGCCAGCCGACTTGCCAGACAAATTACTCAAAGAGCACCCTTGGGATCAGTTGGACCGATGAGTGAGCGCATAAAGCGACACCAACACTGCAACGACGTGGACAAACATTAGTTCAAGAGCGTAATGGACTTCCACAAAGGTCAATACGAACAGTGACCGGATCAGGGCACAGAAAGTGTCAAGCCGGCATCACTGCAAGGGGCGGCCATACCTCTACTAGATCTAATGGGAAATTTGTGAAATCAAGGGGTACCAGTTTGTGTTTAACTTTAGCACTGTCACCATTTGAGCCATGATCAAGAAACATATAGCAATACATGTCTTGAAATACTTTGAAATGTAATTGTGTGTGTGTGTGTGTGTGTGTGTGTGTGTATGTGTGTGTGTGTGTGTGTGTGTGTGTGTGTGTGTGTGTTTGTGTGTGTGTGAGAGAGAGAGAGAGAGAGAGAGAGAGAGAGAGAGAGAGAGAGAAGAGAGATTTTGCTTTTATTGCTTTTATATGCTGAAGAATAAGCACCATAATATAGACTTTTTTAAAAGTGGAAAGTTTTTTTAAGCCGAATTATAAAACGAAGTCAGAGGAACATTAGACAAAAACAGTTCTAGTGCAACCATGCAGCAGGCAGTACAACGAATGAGAGAAACACTTTTGCTTCTCCCACCCCCCCCCTCCCCTACACGGTAAGGTAACAGAGGTCGAAAAATACTAAAGTAAAGTAAGTAAACGAAGTTGGTATATTAAAAAAAAAAGAAAGAAACCCGCCTATGAGGAGAATTAATGTTTATCTGCAAAACCCGAAGCGTGTGGAGAATTAATGTTTATCGGCAAAACATGCAGCGTGTGAACATGAGGTCTCGGTGGTGTATCGGTTAGCCACTTCGCTGTCACGTCCAGAAGACGTGAGCTGTGGAGAGGATTCTTTTATCGGGTATCTCGTTCTTACTGTCAGGACGATGCATCCCTCTTAATTAACTAACCTGGGTCGATCCGAACAGGCAGGGTCGAAGCCCGCCTCTAAATGGTTAAGACTGTCGACGACAACGGAAGTCACTTACATTAAAAAAGCAACAACAGCAAAGAAGCGAGTAAATAAATTTCATTCTGTTAACGGTTCACAATTCAGCATCACAACTTTCAGTTCCAATCTTTTGAGGGGGCTCTCGTGGCCTAGAGGTTAAAGTATTTGCTTGTCATTCAATAAGTCTAGGGTTCGAAATTTGAGAGCCACAGAAAATCTTCCTTTCTAAAATATTTCCCCGTTCACCTCCTTTCCTGCCCTCTAACTATGAATGTTTTGTCGTCTGCTTTGGTCTCCACTTTCGATGAGAGTAGGCTTCACCCGCCACCTGGGCAAAGTTCAAAATTTCCTACCAACTGAAAATGTTTAATATGTCCCGCGTGCTCATATGACCTTATACAGTTGCGAGCGCCGTAAAACACTTACCAAAATAAACAAAACAATATTCTCATCGATTGGTGCTTTTGACAGTTATATTTTCTGAAAGCAGCACGTTATATTATTCATAACACATGATATGAAGACAAATTTTGAAAAAGCATTACCGTCATTGATAAACCATGATGTCTTTTCATATGATTTGTCTATTATACTCAACGAAGATGTAACGTAGCTTGGTAAGTCAAAATTACCAGAGACAACCGCCCATGGCCAAAGAGGAAGTGGTTGTCTCAGACGGCCAGACAGTGTGATATAAACACACACATCACACACA